ATCATTATTTTATTTTTTTAAAATAAATAAATATTTTTGTCTTTACTTTAACTATATAATTATCTATTTATTTTAATTAATCATTTAATCATAAATTTTTTTATTTTTTATTTTTTTAAAGATATTATAAATAAATACAAATATTATTTAAAAAATTTTAATTTAAAAAAAATTAGAAAATAATTATTTTAAAACAAAAATAATATATATAAACCTTAATGGTTCATAACTAACAAAATGTTAGATTTTCTCACAAATAAAATACTCACCGATGTATGTACATCTCTATAGAAACCCAATAAATGGGAAATATGGAAAGAAGTAACACAATCTAATCCTCATATATCTAGGAGAATGTCTGCCTCTGCTTGCCATGATAATGTAGAGGGACCCTTTCATTGTTTTTTTTTTTAAGGCACCATATGATCTCATCATGATACCAACTCTAGTTAAAATAATTTTTTTTAAAAAAAAGATGATATATAATTGGATAAAAGAAGAGTTGTTTTTAAGGGTCCTACGATTGTGACTTCATTTTTTAACAAGAGTGGTTGAAGCATTAAGAAAAGTGACAAATATAGGTGGACATGTTAATTGATTTAATTATCACTTCCCGTGACCAAAGAAAAAAAAAAAAAAAAGGATTTCCAAGCATTATACATGTACCTGATCCTTTCCCCATCCCAATCCTATCCATTTCTTTCCCCTTAAAAAAAGTTGGTTTGGACTCATTTCTTAGAGCTCCAAACATTTTGTTCTGTTCTGTTTCGGTTTGGTGTTTCAAATTTTATTGCAGTGAAGTTTTTTTTTTTTTGAGAAATTTGAGGGTGAAATGGAGGGCGGACAGATAGCCAAGAAGAATTTGAAGGTTGATGTTTCGTCCGAGCATGATGGCACAATTGAGTCTCAGGTGACTTCAGCAACAGGGCAGGGTACACCAGGCCTTACCAGGCAGCCGAGTGTGACAAAGGGCAACTGCTTGTGCTCTCCTACAACACATGCTGGTTCCTTCCGGTGCAGACTTCACCGTGCCCCTAGTCTCCAGCGTACCAAAAGCATTGACACCACTGCAAACCAGGACGCTGCATCCAAAGATTAACTGCACCGCCCCAGAACCTGACTCCAACGTAATTGATTCCCAAAAATATGTATAAATGTGTTATTGGCTGTTATTTAAACCCTTTTCAGTTCTTTTGTGTTCAGTCACCTATTCAGTCCTTGTTGTTACTCTTATGTCTAAAAATCCGATGTTCAAATTTATTATTTTCTTAGTTTAAGTCTGTTTATCTTCTTTTCCGTGTCTTCCATGATTTTTTTTTTTTTGTTTTACCAGTTTCAGTTGTTTTTGGATTTTGAAAAGTGTTTTTTAAGTCTATGTTACAAAGAAAGTATATGAATATTTATGAAAATTTTTAAATATCCTTATTAAATCACCAATGTGTGTTGTTTCATTAATACTAATATTTAAGCCTTTTTCATAAGTATTCTAGCAAATTCGCATCCCCTTTTAGATTTATCTGATTTTAACAGGTGTAGTAGGAAAGGAGTGGAGCCTATTTACTAAAAAGTAATAGAGATATGAGGAAATCTGCCATACCATTCAAGACCCCACCCCAACAAATAGGCACTCGTGCCCTGCCCAGAGAGTTAGTTAGTGGATAGAGAAGGCCGAACTTAATCTAATGGCCATTCGGAATAAGGTACATATCCTGAAGAAGAGTTCGAAAGAGCTCTAAAGACATAAGATTTAATTCATATCCCAAAATTAGTAATGCACAAATTGGGCAATTAATTAAGCTAATTAGGTACGGTTTGTATCGAATCAGGGATTGAATACTTGTTGTCAAGCCTTTACCTATTTCTTAAACATCTAACGTGATCAGTGGTCTTTGTTGGTACATCTTATAATGATAATGAGTTATATAAAAAGGGATTACTCTACTATTTTCTTAAATCTCTCTCCACCTTTAATATTGAAAATTAAAATCTCTAATTTAAAATTTCAAACCATTGAGTTATCCTTTAAAGTTAGTGGTCTTTGTTGGTTAATAGAGTTGATAAAGTTTTTCGATGATTGAATCAATGAACAAGATTAAATACTGCTTTTAGCAGCCGTGGAAGAGTAAAAAAATTAGTTAATAGAACTAATCAACAAAAGATTTGAACAGATACTAACCTAACCTAATACTATAGCTTCCTTTGTCAAAAAAAAAAAAAAAATCAACAGAAGACATTGGAGGGCAACAGGGAAAAGAAAAGAGATGGGCTTAGCAAGCAAACAATAGAGCTTTCATGGAAGTGGAAAGGCATGGTATAGTGCGTGCAGATGCAGGTGCTTTAAAATGGAGGAAGTTTTACTGAGGAAAACCATGACGAATATGATGAGAGCAATGATGGAGACATGGACTATAAGAAATGTGACTACAATGTATTGATGCCCTATAATTGACCTATCTTGAAAGATTTAGCCTACTCTGTCTCTATATATCAAGAATAGACACATCCGAACCGGCATGCAAATGCAATCCAGCTCAATAATACAACTCCAAAAGGAATGCATCAGAAATGAAACGCACAATCATGTCAACTCATGCACTAAAGTTTTTCATGCCCAGTTTATAAGGTTTCTGGTTAATTTAAGATGGGAACAGGCAACAACGATGTATCTCACCAACTGAGCTGCGAGTTAGGACCTCACTTACCTTGGTAACCCTATTAGTTGATCATACGTATTTTGCGAGTTTTATTGGAACTGTAGTATTCAGGGAAAATTTTAATTTTTGTTGGTTAATTTGCACCTTTGTAATAGTCCTGTAACACTTTCTCCTCTGTCAACAATGGTTCTGTATTTGGTCTTTCAAATGGAATTCCTAGAAAGAATACATCTGATCTTGAATTGATTCCAACACACATTTCCATATTGTTGGAATATTGATATCCTGAATGATTGGCACAAAACAATGAAATAAGACAAAGAAATCCCAAGAACACAGCACAGCATAATGTCAGACACAAGGAAAAGCATTAGTTAACTTTTGATTAACAGCAGAGGATCCAATGTTGCAAGAAAGTTAAGTGAAAAAGATGCTGCAGATTTCTAGATAAAGAAAATGATGCTGCCACCATGTTTAGTCAATTATAACAGGTAATCCACGTTTAGATTAAACAAATGAGATTCACCAGGAGAGTTTGCCTCTTATTTCCAGAAATTTCTTGATTCTTATTGTAATAGGTTACATCATGAATAATGCACATTGAGATTTTTTTTTTTTTTTTCTTCACCTAGAAGTTACATGGCATTTCATAAGGATTTCCAGAATAAAAAGAAAGAAAAAACTGATTGTATATGCTACCATTAGAATTTTTTGCTTTGCCACTGACCTGAGAATTAACAAAATTCACTTAATTCTTTTCACTGGTATTTCTATTAATGGATAGCAACTTACTGAACATTTTTTTGGGTTGAGAAGGAAGAGCGCAGAAGGCCTTAAACTTTGAAGGTCTTGCCATTCCATCAGGGTGTACATTGGTGTCATTTAAATCATCTTCATTGAGCTTCATTCTTAGAGCTGAGAGTTTGGACTTGGGTGATTTTAGGCCTGAGATACTCCACTGATCCTCTGCTTGGACACTTGTTGTAGTGCTTAATGGTGCTGGAGGACGTGATGGATCAATACCATGTGTTGCTAGAAGTGCCTTAATGTTACTTGGCAACTCAGTCACTTTGCCACCACCCATGGCAGCTCGAACTTGCTCAAAGAAGAGAACTTGTACCACCACCCTGAGAGGTAGCTTTTCATTTTGTGCTGCATGCATACAGACCTCAACAGAAAGCTTTTTGCAATCTAAAATGCGGCACAGCCTTTTTCTTTCGCTCTTGTTTAGGTCTGGATGCGCCTGAAATTGCCAAATGTAATAAGTTCAGCAATTTTGATCCTTATTTTTCTATATGATGTGTAGAAACAATGCTTTAAGTAATCATATATTGACTTCCCTCTATCTTGAAAATTAGGGATGTCTAGTTGCATTCTCATATCTAGACCGAGGATCACTCTTTGCATGAAATCAATTTGTTAGGTCAACCTAATGCTAACTGCTAAAAATTCGAAAAGAAGCAAGATTCCCAAGTCAAAAAGAGTTGGTTGTGGTCTGAAAATGGTGACCCACAAACCGAAATGTGATGGTGAAATATCCCTAAACATTCAACAAAATTGTGAATCATGGGCAATTTCTGTTCATAGAAGGGCACCTGTGATTTACCTTGAGATAAATGTCAATGGCACGGTATAGATCATCATGGTCAGGCCTTGAGAAATCTGGTATGCTCTCAGCTATTGCAATGAATTTTGACAGAGGTAAATTAACATCTCTGGCAATCTCTTGAAGATACCCATCTACAAGCTTTGCAACTTTCAATTTGGAGCTGTGTGATGCTGAAGAGGATCTCCTACTCTCCTGTAACTCAAAATCAATGTTCTCTGCTGACCGAGACTTTCTCCTTTCAAACCCCAGCTTGGATCTTGGAGGGCTGGTTGGGGGACTTTGCCCCTGTAACATGAACTGCTCCAAAATGCTCAAGACTATGTCTACATCATATAGCATATCACTTGAGTATGACAAGGAGGGTATTAGCAAATCCTTGACTTTAGCTTCCTCAAGCTGAAGTCCCACTCTTCTAGCTAATTCCATCTTTGAAGAAGAGGAAGCACCGAGAATGCTGGCTGCCTTCAGCAGTTTAAGCAGAAAACTACAAGAGACGGTTCCTTTCTCCGCTGGGAGCAAACTCACTATTGATTCCAAGAGCAGCCTGTGTTTTGATCTAATCTCATTTGTGGAGTCGGAATCCGAGTCAGATGCTACTTGCTTATGACCAGCTCCTTCTCTGGATACGTTTGGGAGCCATCTAGATGCATAAATTTGCAATGCCTCACCAATGAGACGAGAGGGTATCTTCCCACCAGATTTAATTGCTATCATAGTTCTCCAATATAGGTCTATCCCCAACTCAGCCATATCTTCAGCCCACCAACCTTTGGTTGTTGTTGGCCTACGTTTCTGGCTCTCTCCTCCATTACAAGATACATCATCCCTCACCCTCCGTGAATGACTATGCGACAAGCTCACCTTGGAGGGGTGACTGAGCACCTTAGAAGTAATTGCCTCTATGCATCGGCTTGTGATTCCAAGGTCTTCTGACCATAAAGGAAAGGCTTTTGTGGTCTGTGAACACACAATTGAATCTCTCCATCCATGAAGGATACACGAATTGAAGAAAACCTCAAGCTTGTAGATCAAGTTTCCTTTCTCAACATCTTCTGTCATCTGCAAATACTCTGCAGCACAGCGTACCGCCACAATATTATAGGCGCTGAGCGTTATTGTGATGCCATAGCAGAACTTTGCACAAAGCTCAAATGCCTCAATCCCTCCAGGGAAATCAGGCAGCTGGATTATCTGGTGTTGGGATGTCTCAGGGGATTCAGAGCACAACTGCTGTAGCTTCAAACACTTGGACAACAGAGGGAACTGCATGCCAAGACCAAGAAGATTCAGAGAATCAACACAAACAAGATCATAGATCATAACTCCATTGAATTCATAAATTTTCAAAAAAAGTTAACGAAGTTTTTCACCTTGTGAAGCAGATATCTACTCCCTTTCACCTGAATTATAAGGTCACTACAAACTTCAGAGGAGACACACCTGCATCAAGAAAAGACATTTCTTGGTATTTTCCTCAACAAATTAAAATCATATCCTTCATCAGATTAAAACAACCATACCTTACAGCCTCAGCAGTATAAAAAGTATCTGGCCGAGATCCCAGTTTCATAAACTTCATGACTGCTTCTTCTTATTCTTTTCCCTCACCTGACTTGAATTCTTCACCACATACTACTAAACATTAAGCAATTAAATAAATTCAGCTTCATGTCTCTCATAACATCTTCTTCGTAGTCCCAGCTGGGAACTTCAACATACGAAGCACAGGCTCTAAAAAAGTGAAAGTCATCTACACAGAAATGGAGAAGAACTAAAATTTCAAGATAGAATTTTCATGGAAGGATGGATGTGGGGTGGGATGGGGGGGAACTTGGAGAATGAATATGAGAGCTCAATGGGAGGAGGGGGCTTTAGCCATGACTGTGCCAGCGTGCTATGAGAAAGGCAACGCCCACGTGCTTAGTCTGCGCCCACTGCTGCTCCTCTCTCTCATCATTGCCACACCATTTTTTTACTACGCAGCCCTTGATTATTTTAGTCAAACTCTAGTTGATACGCTACATCGTACACCTCTCATTTCTGATTTCTGAATTTTTATATATGAAAGATAAAATCTTAACAAAAGTTTATGTAATTTTATACATGTCTGCTTTTATAAATTAAAGAATAAAAGAATACAGAAAAAAGTAAAGCTTGAAGTGGATACATGTATCACTATCATTCATTGCTTTTAATATTGCCCTTGTTTTTGCTCCTGAATATCAGAAGTACCGTTTTTATGAATTTAAGCAATATGGCCTGTCCATTTCCTTGGACCTTTGCCTTTGATTGGTGTGAAAGGAAGAAACTTTTGCAGATTTGTGAGTCGAAAAGTTTAATGCTTATGCATAAAAAGTTAGCTATTTGACATTGAATGTATTTGAAACTTAATTTTGAATCTAAATCAAGGTTTGCAAGAAGTGGCTATCAATTCAATCAAAATTTTACCGATTCCAACTTACATTAATGAAATGGATAACGAGTATTAACTATGGCTGTTGAAGGTCATATTCAACTTGCTTTTCAATGGATTCTTACAAGCCTATGACTTTTTGATCTCTTGAAGCCTTGAAGGCCATTTGAAATCATTATCATTTTCATATATTGAGGACCAAACTAAGATAGCAATTATGCAGCTTTTCCTTCTTCTTCTTTTACCTAAAGTTTGCTATCATATGTAATGTACTGAAATTAATTAAGAAAAATGGGGTTCCATTCTTGGCCCTAAGCCAAAGTTAGGTAACCCCACATAGGTTTTTAAGCTCTAATGAACATCTCATGACTCAAAAATTAATTGAGTGCTCTTCCGCTTTGAATTTTATTTCATTTGAAAAAAGAAAAAAAAAAAAAAAAAAAAAAAAAAAAAAGCAAAGCAGCAAAGTTGTAGTGAGGAACAAGCTGTCAAATCACTCATTCCATAATTTCGGCAATGATCTTATAAAGAAATTAAAGAGGAAGCTCGAGATGGATCTTGTGACTATATTTAAATAATTTTTTTAAAAAAAAAAGGAAGAAGAACAAGATTTGAATTACCTGATATTATGATTTTGCAACCTCACCGACACTACTGGTTCAAAATCAAGCAGCAGAGATCATGGTATTCATGGAAAAGGAAAACTGAAAACCTTTCTTTATTTGGATACTCAATACTGCTGGATCTCTTATAGATATATATTATGCGGTTAAGGGGATGTTTTGTTGATTCCTCATTAGAATCTAGATAAACAGATGGAGTTGCTGGAAACTAGATTTTTCAGGAACAAGTATGCTGTCCAAGCTTGTTCTCCTCAATGTGGAGCCAAACAGGAACATGATCACAAGGGCATTAACACCCGGAAACTGTATTGGCTCGATCAATGTCTACCGTGGTCCAAGAGCTAGGCTTTGTCTTGGATCGATCAATGCCGCCTATCCTAATGCCATGCCAAATTGCCAATTGGCCATATTTATGGATTGTACTAGTTTGGCCTATTAGTTATAAATTATCTACTTTTTTAACTCGTTGCGCACATGGTTTTTAAAATGCTTTAATGCAATTAAGACGTTAACTTACATATCCAACGTTTTTACCGTGCTGTCCAGTCCTCACCATTACTAACAAAAAGTGTTGAATTGTGGTTGGCTCGTTTTTGATATTTTGGAGGTGGACCAACGATAATTTGTGAACTCCCATTGGCCTCCGGAGACGGGCAAGGGGAAAGTTTTTTCGTGGGCATGGATTGATGTCAACACTACGTAAGAAAAAGGGTGATCCACATATGCTGCAGTGGTCCTCTGTGCCACCCAACTGGGCGGCCAAACGACAAGGTCCTTCTCCGTGGGACCACCTTCCTTCCGGTAGGACCCTTGTACTCCCACTCCATTTACGTTTCTTCTTTTATACTGTATATATATATAACTGGTCCAAATTTTTGGATTTACAGTTCAATTCAGAGAACACAGAGAGAATCTATGTAAAGAAGATGGAGCCTAAATCTATTTAATTAAACCTAATACCTAATTGGGGTTGAAGAAAGAGGGGGGTCTATTAGGTTTTTGACAGGCACTTGTTAGAGATTAAGGAGTGGAATCCTCATAATTGAAAGCCATGTGGGATCCTTCTATGCATCATTGTTCCCTCGGAATTTGGCCTCCTTTTAGTAATTCTTTTTTTATCTATTTAGATATGAGATTGAAGTTTTTGAGAATGAATTATATAGTAAAAAGATAATTTATCTTATAAATTTATTTAAATATTTTAAAAAAATATTTTTAATATATAATTTACCACATTAAACACTTTTTTGTTTAGATATATACTAATTTTGGGAAGATCACAAAAGCATAATCAATACATATATTGTATCGAAAAACCTTTTCTTTTTTAGTTTGGAGGTTACTAGCTATCTACTTTTACATAGGTTTTGATTGAGAAAATCACTTTTTGAGTACACATAAAAATACCTTTTTCTTTATTTTATTCATCTTTTTTTATTTTATTTCAAGTAGAAAGACAAGTCATTCATGCCCAATATTTATTTAAGATAATTAAATTGAAAATTGATAAAATATTTTAATAAAAATATTTATTAAATATTTAGTTAAGTTTAAAACAGTTGGAATATTTAAACATTTATTAAATATTTTGTTACTAGTTCAATTTGTAATTTCAATCAGGAGTCGCTCATAATTTCTTTTCGCCAAGTTACACATAATTAAACTACTTTAATTGCTTTAAATGGCCCTGGTAACCAACGGTAAGGATCTTGAATTTTTAGCCATTTGTGTCCATTTGTATTAACACAAACTTTATCATGCAATTGAATGGAATTATCATAGATTCACGATTATGCTCGTTTCTTATCTATTTATCCATGCAGCATTGTATAGTAGATCGTACGTCCTTTAATATGTTACTCTTGTTTGCTTTCCTCATCTTGCATTCTTTGATACATTACATGGCTAAAGAAAAGTGTCCTGAGCCGTAAGTTTTATTGACAAAACAGGTTTATGGAAAATCTTTATTAAGATTGTTGTATTCTGATAACGACATACTCATACGTTTACTTCCTATCATGTCAAAAAGTTAAAGCTTCCGACATATGAATCGTCTTAAGAAGAATGATTGATTTCATGCTTTACTTTTTTTTTTATTAATTTTTTGATATTTATTAATTATATTAAATTTTAATTAATTTGACATCGAGTCATATTAGATTTTATTAAAAAAAACTCTTTTAATATCTATTTTTTCATTTATAATATTTAAATTTAATATTTTATTTAAAAAAAATTAAATTTTTTCCATTCAAATCCATAAATCGTTCGTACGCCTTATACTTAATTTGATTATGTGTTTTCAACTTTTTCATGCTCATGTTACTGATATTTTCTGCACCTAATCTCTTTCTAATTTTACTAATCAATATTTTTTATTGTTTTTATTGTTGAGAAACAACGACGGGATGGTGCGAATTTTGAGGAGATGCGCCGGATAGAACAACAAACCAGTTTATGAAAAAGAGAAAGATGTTGTAATTGACTCTTTTAGTGAGTTGACGATACGATCGACTTGTTTCAGAATTTGAGTTGAATGGCATCTGCTTGATGCGACGGAACGTGAAACCGTCATTGATTAAAATAGAATTTTTTAACTTGTGTATTGAAAAGTATATATTAAAAAAT